ATTACCAATTGGTTCATTCTTCATGAGGTGATCATTGAAAAATGGCCATGTGTCAGCTTCAGCTCAAACTGAAAAATAACTTTTATTCAAGTGAAAGTAATTTTGCAGCCACCGTCCGGAGTATGATGATAAACTACATCCAGCAGCAAGTCCTCTGATTAGTAGGTTTTGAGAAATATTGAAATACCTCTTAATTGCTGTTGTTCCCAGGTCCAACCTGACCTAAAGGTGGTAGGGATTTTTAGGGTCCCAACTATGTTAGCCCCCAAAACTGGGGTCAAAATATGATAAAAGGGTAAAAATAGGTTTTAATATCAGCAATACCTTTTTTATATAAAATTATTACCAGCAATGAATTTTTGAAAAGAAATATATTACCAGAATACATTTTTCAAAAAATATTGACCCTAACCCGGGGGTGGTAGCACTTTTAGTACCCTAACTTTGAGCAAAAATTTAACCCACAAACTGGGTTTAAGACACTATGAAAGTATAAAAATACATTTTTATACTAAAAATAAAAGTAATACATTTTTATACTAAAAATAACATTAATACATTTTTATACTAAAACCATTACCAACCATACATTTTTCTAAGAGAAATTACTAGTGTTCCCAACAAAATTAAACTCTGTCATTAAATGACCCATAAACAGTTGATATGTCAGTAAACAAAAAAAAAAAAATTATTACCAGTAATTCGATTTGAACTCATATCACCTGTCCTTCAAAACCTATTTAACATTTTTATCAACTGAGCCAGAGAGACACAGCAGCAATCAAAATACATGTTTAGTCAAACAGTCACATTTTCCTGACATTAATTTTCCTGGCCATATTGTTTGTTTACAACTACTAGTAATAGTCAATAAGTTATATTAATTTTCCTGGCCATATTGTTTGTTTACAACTACTAGTAATAGTCAATAAGTTATATTAATTTTTTATTGTTTATTTACAACTACTAGTAATAGTCAATAAGTTATATTAATTTTCCTGGCCATATTGTTTATTTACAACTACTAGTAATAGTCAATAAGTTATATTAATTTTCCTGGCCATATTGTTTGTTTACAACTACTAGTAATAGTCAATAAGTTATATTAATTTTCCTGGCCATATTGTTAATTTACAACTACTAGTAATAGTAAGTTATATTAATTTTCCTGGCCATATTGTTTATTTTACTAGTAATAGTCAATAAGTTATATTAATTTTCCTGGCCATACATATTGTTTATTTACAACTACTAGTAATAGTCAATAAGTTATATTAATTTTCCTGGCCATATTGTTTGTTTTACAACTACTAGTAATAGTCAATAAGTTATATTAATTTTCCTGGCCATATATTGTTTAATTTTGGCCATATATTGTTTGTTTACAACTACTAGTAATAGTCAATAAGTTATATTAATTTTCCTGGCCATATTGTTTGTTTACAACTACTAGTAATAGTCAATAAGTTATATTAATTTTCCTGGCCATATTGTTTGTTTACAACTACTAGTAATAGTCAATAAGTTATATTAATTTTCCTGGCCATATTGTTTGTTTTACTAGTAATAGTCAATAAGTTATATTAATTTTCTGGCCATATTGTTTGTTTACAATTACTATTTTCAATAAGTTATATTAATTTTCCTGGCCATATTGTTTGTTTACAACTACTAGTAATAGTCAATAAGTTATATTAATTTTCCTGGCCATATTGTTTGTTTACAACTACTAGTAATAGTCAATAAGTTATATTAATTTTCCTGGCCATATTGTTTGTTTACAACTACTAGTAATAGTCAATAAGTTATATTAATTTTCCTGGCCATATTGTTTGTTTACAACTACTAGTAATAGTCAATAAGTTATATTAATTTTCCTGGCCATATTGTTTGTTTACAACTACTAGTAATAGTCAATAAGTTATATTAATTTTCCTGGCCATATTGTTTGTTTACAACTACTAGTAATAGTCAATAAGTTATATTAATAATACTATACATAATAGTCTTCAGTTTTTCCAAGCAAATATTGCATTAACAATTTTTTGGAGATAACTTTAATTTTTTTCAAATATTAGCCCTACTATTTAACCCATAGCTGGAGGGAACAAATGGATTCATATCTTTCCTGCATGTATTTTCCCATAAATATGTAACTAAGTTGACTGGAATTCAAACTCAGCTCTCCAATTTCATGTTCCAAGCCACTACTTATTACACCGCATGAATATCCTAGAAGATAGGATAGTGTAAAGGATTAACAGGCATATATAACGATGGAAGCTCAGCAACATTCTGGCAAAATGGCAATTGACATGAAAGGATATTTGAAGAATAGATGTGAATACCTGATGCTTGCTAAATGTTTACAAAGACCAAAGAGTGGATGTAAGCTCAGTTAAGTAGTGGTGATAACATTGCTCAAACCTCAAACAAAATGAAAAATGTCTTGAAAATGCTGATTATGCTATTACTATTGTCCTCATCTTTGTTGCCATATTTATCACAACATTTTGGCCGTTGTATGCTCTAGCCTTCTTCAAGTGGTTGGAATGTCAAATTGAACCCTTTATTTTGCTCACTGGGGTAGACTGTTCTAGTTCTAGGTGTCTAATGGATGTCAATTACCTCATGTCAATTCCCCTTTCCAAGTTCTCCACTGCCTTAACCAGGTATTGATCTGTCACTGGATCTAACCAATGCCTTTATCCACTGTGCCATGTGTCCTTAAGAACTATAGAATTCGTGAAAATCCAAAAGAAACAAACACTCATTTCACAGCATGAAACAAGCTGTCAATAAATAACGAAACAGAACATGTTATTCTTTTTATTTGTATTAAAATGCTAGACAGATTTTTAAATATCTGCAAAGAATTCAGACAAAAGATGGAAAATGTGACACTAAAATCTGAAAGCATATTGAAGTAAAACAAAAAAAGATGCCTTCCAGAAATAAGCAAAGTATTAAAAAACAAGAAAATTCAATTATTAACAAAGAAAATAGTACTAAACAGGTGTGATTTCAATCCTCTTGTATGGCAATGAATGCTAGACAATTTCAGCAAGGATGAAAATGAAACTGGAAGCAACAGAAATGTGGTTCTACAGAAGGATACTGAGAATTCTATGGACAAGGCGAGTAAGCAACAAAGAAGTCTTAAAGGAAATGGAAAAAAAAGAACACTTATACACAGAATCAGAAAGACAGAGCTAAAATTTCAAATAATGAGGAAAGATGGCTTGGAAAACTTAACACTCACCGGACATATCAAGGGTAAAATGTGATACGAGAAGACAGTGAGCCACCTACCTAACAATCTTGTGTGGATGGACAGCAGAAAGAGAATGGCAGGAAGCTTGATAAACAGAAAAACACTGTTAATGGCCATGAAGAGAGGAGGTTGTAGAGAGCCATAATCCTGAAGGGACATGCCGTACAAGAAAATTAAAAAACTCTTTTAAATGTATTTTAGACAGAGCATGCTTATCTTCATAACAAGAGTAATATTCAGTATTTATATAGATATCATCTGTGCATTGAATACTGTTGCCATATATGGTCTGGTGCTCCTGCTATTTATCTCAAAGTTCTTGACAAAATTCAAAAAAGGATCTGTAATGTAATCAAACCTGACCTGGCTTTTCAACTTCAGTCCCTCTCTCAGTGATATGGTACGGATTCCCTCTGTCTTTTCTACAAATATTTTCATGGCAACTTTTTTCCTTTGTGCCCCAATACACGAATTTAAGTGTGCTACTAAGATAGGCAGCTATGTCCGACTGTTTTAGTGTTGAAATAGTTCAAATGTAACCATCACTTCTACTCCAACAGTTTATTTTTTCACACTTCCTGTCTGTGGAACTCCCTTCCATTCACTTGCTTCCCTGATAACTATAATCTTCAAAAATTTAGATGCAACATCAATTGCCATTTTCTCTCTTCTTACATCTCGTTCATAGCAGAACAGAATGGCTTCTTTCAACCAGCCTAACGCACAAAGAAATGGCACCCTACTGCAGGAAAATCTTCTGCCTCGTCAGTCATGCATCGAAAGACACATGATCGCTCATGTATGGAATTCAGCTGACTGATCACATTTTCCATTGTTCCCGTATAATCACCAAAGTTAACCAATGCTGAGCCTGGTCAGTACCTAGATGGGTGACCACTTGGGTATAACAGATTCAAGTTCAAATTCCTGTTGGGTTTGTCATATTCATTTATGTGTAAATAACCTTGGGAAAGGTATGAATCCACCACATCTCCCCACCAGCTTTGGGTTAATTAGTAAGATTTGTATCATCAAATCATTATTATCTAAAAAAAAAAAAAATTCTTACAGTCTAAAAATATTTTCTGGCTTTAAATAACCCACAAAGGTTGATAAACCATAGCAAATGAATCAAACAATGAAATACTCATTAGCTACACAGGCATGGCTTTTAGATTTATTTACATTCTCTGGAATAGAAATGTATAGAAACTACAGTGGTCACAAAGTGAGGGATCAGTTTATAATTGGATTGTAATATAGAACTGATCACCCATTTTATATCCACATTATAATTTATGTATTGTTTATCAAATTCTGATTAGGTATGAATCCACCTCTTCTCCTCCCAGCTATGGGTTAATTAGTAAGGCTGGTATCACTAAATCATTATTATCAGAAAAAAATTCTTACAATCTAAAAATATTTTCTGGCTTTAAATAACCTGCAAAGGGCTAATAAAATGTAAAAAACAAATCAACAAAACACTTTAAATTTCTCTATTTGCTTGACTTTGACATCTCCAATTCATAGCTCCCATTTTGGTAAGTACATTTTGCTAACAAAATCTTTCCACCTTATGTACAGACTTAGCACTGACTTATCGTCTGTTTGGAATTTCACTAACTGCAGGGAATAATTGAATAATACTTTATAATTATCTTGTCTTAACAATTTCAGAAAATTCTGGAAGATGTCAAACACTAAGTTTTTAGTAGGTACTTACCTTATCAGTTGGAGTTTTATAATACAAGAAATGTCTGCCTAATAAAACACACCAGCACCTTCGGGTCATGCCATTTTTTACCTGAAATAAAAAACAAATATTAATTCATTATCAAATGATTTAGATTAGATGAAGCTGCCTTTCTAAGTCAATAAACATTTCTATGAGAGAAATGTAAGAAACAATTCCTTTCTGATTAGTTTTTCTTTTTATCTTATTTTTGTTGCTTAGTGGGTGCATGGCAAAACAGTTAGACTATTAGTGTTTTGACCATGAAACCAGAGTTTCAAATCTCACCAGGGTTGATTAGTCAAGGAGGTGGTTTCTTGATAAATTATCCTGAGGGGATGATCGCAGCATGCAGAACTCTTGGAAAGTGCCTGAAAACCATACGACAGGTTAACACAATGTTTGTGAGTGGAATCAGGTCAATGGAACTGTTTGAAAGCTGTTAATGATCATGTAAATGATAAACAGAAGTTTTTAGCCTTGATGAGCCACCTTTTTAGAGATAGGGACTTAATAAAAAGCATCCATCCCCCAGAAATCATGTTGGCCTGAAAAAATGGACTCCAACTAAAACTTCAATGATAGCATCATCTTTCAGTATATGAAGAAGGCCGGAGCATACAACAGCCAAAACGTTGTGATAAATATGGCAACAAAGATGAGGACAATAGTCCGAATAATGTAAATGATGTACATAATATCTCATCTCAGAAATATAGACAGATACTGAAAGGCCGAAACGTTGTGATAAATATGGCAACAAAGATGAGGACAACAGTCTGAATAATGTAAATAGTGAGCATCATCTTTTTCTTTGTTGCTCATTTACAATTAGTACTAATAGTTTTAAATTTGTCCAAATTTCTTTGATAAAGCATAGTTATTTTTCAACTACCATATTTGCCACTATCAAGGCACAGTTTTTTTTTTCTTGGAATAAGTCTCAAAAATTTGCATAACCTACAGGAATTCTGTTTACCACCTAGCACAGATAACCTTCCTCTGGGCTTAGCATAGGCCTAAAAAACCCTAATCTTTACACAGCAAATTTTTGAGACATTTAAAAAAAAAAAACATAATTTGACACCAACAAACGCAGTAGTTCTTTTAATCATATTTTTGCTAATTTTTATCACAACATTCAGATGTCTTTGACGTTATTATAATCAATGCCATAATGCTCATCTTGACTTCATACTAATAGTAGCAAATATAGTAGTTTTAAGAATTCCAATTCTAAGAATTCTTAATAATTGCTATTATTAAGTTTTGACAAGTTTTTCTTCCTTTCTATTCTTAATGCTTTTAATCGAATAGATTTACAATATATTTAATATAGATTACTAGTTTTTTCACTACCATTAAATAAAATATATTTTCTTGAACTATCAGTGATTCAGCTACTCACCCAAAGTTTATTATGCTAACTTACTAAGAAATCAGTCCAACATACACAGAATTGTGAATAGAAAGTAAAAAGTCCTGAGTTTAAGTTCTATTGATTTTCTAATGGAGTGCAGATTGCAATTATATCATAGCTAACTCAAGGCAGGAAACCCGACATGTTTGGATGTTGATTAGATATTCATCAGATTTAACCATTGAGCTATTCATGCAGGTAGACTTCGAGGCTGTCACAGATATGGAATTTGTAACAATACACATTGTAATAAGAAGAAATAAGCACATTAACAGACAGACAAATGAATGAATATGGATTTTTTTTTTTAATGGGCAATTTTGACAGCATGACAAAAGCAATGAGAAGACAAGCAGCAAACCTTGGCTTCCATCTTGCACAAATAAGTGAAAAAAAATCTTTCTGAAGGGACTCTAAGCCAATTGGGGATGTCATCTATCAGAATCTGTGGATATTTCTATGCCATTTTGGCTAACGTAATAAAAATAGGGAATTGGTAGTCATGACGCCAAAAAGATGAAGAGATTGGGTAGGGATGAGATTAAGGATGGTACGCCAGTGGGAATATGCGTTTTCGCGGTGGCAGTGGTGGTCGCGGTTCTGTTGTTATCTTTGTAGTTAGTTTCTTGATGAGACAGTTTCAGCTCTTTGCATTGAAAGAACTTCACAGATTTTAATGCCCTGCGGGTGCGGGAATACAAGAGGGGCAGGGACAGCAAGTACGTGAGGGGAGGAGGGAGAGGGGGGAAAAGGGGTGGAAAGAACGAGAATTTGGCACAGGCTAAGTTTTTATTGATTTTGGAAATAGAAGTTGAGAGTAAAAGAATGGAATTTGTCTAAGACTTGTTGTACAATATTATGGAATCTGGTAGGGTGGGGTGGGGTGGAGTTGAGGGTGATAAAGAAATGCAAAAGAGGGGGAGAAGAAGACAGGGAAGAAGAAAGACTGCAAGAAGATGAAGAGAAGGAGACAAAGAAAAAGAAAAACATGCGAGAAGAGGAAAAGTGGAGATAAGGAAGAAGAAAGAATATGAGAAGAAGAGGAGGCAGAGACAAGAAGGAAGAAAGGCTGAGAAGAGGGAGAAGAAAGACTGAGAAGAGGGAGAAGAAAGGCTGAGAAGAGGGAGAAGAAAGGCTGAGAAGAGGGAGAAGAAAGGCTGAGAAGAGGGAGAAGAAAGACTGAGAAGAGGAAGAGGCAAGGAAGAAGAAAGACTATGAGAAGAGGAAGAAAAATCGTCAATGAGATGAATAAACTGGATAAGGAAAAATGAATGAAGAAAGATTATAAATATGAAGAAAATATAAGAAATGAATAAAAAATAAAGGAAATGAATGAAAAAACAGGAAATGAATGAAAAGGCTGTGGTTATAAGAAGAAAATAGATAAGATAAAAGTAGAATTATGAATTCAAATATAAAGATACAGAAGAAAGAAAAACTGGCAAATGGAAGGATCAGCTAAAAAGAGGTAAAAACTCAAGAAAAAAAACAAAGAAAATATTGTGGAAATAAAAAAGAATTTAGGAGATTAGAAGAAAAAAGTGAATGAAAAAAAAGGAAGGAAAAAAAGAGAAATGGTGAAAGACGAATGAAAACCAGAAATTGATAAAAGAAAAAAAAAAGAGGAAGAAAAATAAATAGAAAGAAAAAAGAAGGAAAGAAAGAATTACAGCAAAAAGCAGAAAAGAAAAAAAAATGCTGGGGAGTATTAGGAGAAAATTACATAATGAAAAAATCTGAATGAAGATGAAGAAAAAATGAAGGAAGAAAAATAAAAAAATCTGAATGAAAAAGAAGAAAAAATCTGAAAAAAGAAAAAAATCTGAAAAAAGAAAAATGAATGAAGAAAAAATAGAGAGAGGAGGAGGAATAGAGATGATTAAATATTCAAATATTTGTCTAAGTGGTATATATTTTGAGTGTGAAATGTGAGAGATCTACAGAAGGATGCTGAGAATATCAGACTGAATATGAGAACAAAGTCAAAGTTTTTGAGAAAATGGAAACAGAAAGGACACACATACCTTGAATCAAAAAGAGACAGTTGAGATTTCTCAGATGCATAATGAAGAAAGAGGGCTTAGAAAATATAACACTCACAGGACATATTGAAGGCAAGAATAACAAAGGAAACCAGTGCAAAGACCCTGCCTAATGAATAAATAGTTGGAAGAACAGAGATTAGGAGAGATAGCCAAGAGACAAACTTTACTAAGAGCTACAAAGGAGAGGAAATTGTGGAGAGTCATGGTCTTCTGTGCCGTGAAAGGTTATGAGACATAGAAGAAGAAGGAGCTTGTGTAAATGGTTGGCAGAACAGGGATTAGGAGAGATAGCAAAAGGACAAATTTTACTAAGAGCTACAAAGGAGAGGAAATTGTGGAGAGCCATGGTCTTCCATGCCGTGAAAGGTCACGAGACATAGAAGAAGAAGGAGCTTGTGTAAATGGTTGGCAGAACAGGGATAGGGAGAGATAGCAAAAGGACAAATTTTACTAAGAGCTACAAAGGAGAGGAAATTGTGGAGAGCCATGATCTTCCATGCCGTGAAAGGTCACGAGACATAGAAGAAGAAGGAGCTTGTGTAAATGGTTGGCAGAACAGGGATTAGGAGAGATAGCAAAAGGACAAAGTTTACTAAGAGATACAAAGGAGAGGAAATTGTGGAGAACCATGATCTTCCATGCCGTGAAAGGTCATGAGACATAGAAGAAGAAGGAGCTTGTGTAAATGGTTGGCAGAACAGGGATTAGGAGAGATAGCAAAAGGACAAATTTTACTAAGAACTACAAAGGAGAGGAAATTGTGGAGAGCCATGATCTTCCATGCCGTGAAAGGTCATGGGACATAGAAGAAGAAGGAGCTTGTGTAAATGGTTGGCAGAACAGGGATTAGGAGAGATAGCAAAAGGACAAATTTTACTAAGAGCTACAAAGGAGAGGAAATTGTGGAGAGCCATGGTCTTCCATACCGTGAAAGGTCATGAGACATAAAAAGAAGAAGGAGCTTGTTGCAGAACAGGGATTTGGAGAGATAGCTAAAGACAAACTTTACTAAGAGCTACAAAGGAGAGGAAATTGTGGAGAGCCATGGTCTTCCATGCCGTGAAAGGTTATGAGACATAGAAGAAGAAGGAGCTTGTGTAAATGGTTGGCAGAACAGGGATTAGGAGAGATAGCAAAAGGACAAATTTTACTAAGAGCTACAAAGGAGAGGAAATTGTGGAGAGCCATGGTCTTCCATACCGTGAAAGGTCATGAGACATAAAAGAAGAAGGAGCTTGTTGCAGAACAGGGATTTGGAGAGATAGCTAAAGACAAACTTTACTAAGAGCTACAAAGGAGAGGAAATTGTGGAGAGCCATGGTCTTCCATGCCGTGAAAGGTTATGAGACATAGAAGAAGAAGGAGCTTGTGTAAATGGTTGGCAGAACAGGGATTAGGAGAGATAGCAAAAGGACAAATTTTACTAAGAGCTACAAAGGAGAGGAAATTGTGGAGAGCCATGATTTTCCATGCCGTGAAAGGTCATGGGACATAGAAGAAGAAGGAGCTTGTGTAAATGGTTGGCAGAACAGGGATTAGGAGATAGAGCAAAAGGACAAATTTTACTAAGAGCTACAAAGGAGAGGAAATTGTGGAGAGCCATGGTCTTCCATGCCGTGAAAGTTTATGAGACATAGAAGAAGAAGGTGCTTGTGGCAGAACAGGAATTTGGAGAGATAGCTAAAGACAAACTTTACTAAGAGCTACAAAGGAGAGGAAATTGTGGAGAGCCATGGTCTTCCATGCCGTGAAAGGTCATGAGACATAGAAGAAGAAGGAGCTTGTGTAAATGGTTGGCAGAACAGAGATTAGGAGAGACAGCCAAAAGATAAACTTTATTAAGAGCTACAGGAACAAGAAGTGGTGGAAAGTGATGATTGCTCAAGTCCCAAAGGGACATGGCACATCAAAGAAGAAGAAGATACATTTATGAACATAAGAACAATCTCCCACATAACAATATATTCAATGCATTAATTATACATAGAAATAATTTTAACTCTGACTTCAATCTCAAGGATGCTACACTTATTAACCCTTTCAGCCCTGCATTCCTGAACAATTTTAACCCTTCTTCTGCCTGGGCTCCTGAGTCAAAATTCACAAATAATTGTTATGTAATGTTTAACAGTAGATATAAAAATATTTACAAGTGTCTACCCACCTTTCAACAGGTATCTGGGCATTAAGTCATTTTTCTCTACCATTGGTAAAGTGGTGGTCATGGCTCAAAGTTTTAACAGACAAAATAACTTACTTAGACAAAAAGTTCTTTGCTGTACAGGACAATAAGCAATTCTTGCCAAAATGTTATGTCCAGGATTTTTAAAAATATCTTTCTTAAAGGAAATGTAAAATTTGACATTGTTCACATGTTCAGTCTGTGATATTCTCAGCATGTTTCTGTAGGCCCATCAAATTTCACACTTTCCCAATAACAATGACAATAATAATTTTGAAAAATTGAAAGAAAACAATTAACTCAAGACTTTTAAATATTTAAAATAAATTAATACATACACTACAGGCAAATGTTTGAGGGAAACCTTGTATTTCTATAAAGAATAACTTAAATGAAATCATTTATCTTTTAAAGTAAAAGATAAAATTTTAATAAATACAGTGCATTTACTTTTATTTTGACAAAAAATGAACACTTAACTATAAAAAATGATCATACGACATCATGCTAAAATAAAATAAAACCACCGCTTGCCTTAATCACTGGTTTACAAATTCTTTCAGTTTTTGAAAAAAAGGATATAGCAGATTTTCCCAAACATTATTCAATCACTAAAAAAGCTTAATCTTTGGTTATTCTCATTAAACTCTCCTATCCAATGCATCCCATAATAGTTCAATGGGTCAGAAGTCAGGTGATTAAGGCAGCAAAGTTATAATTTCCAAAATGTTATTTTTTTTTTTTGATTCGAGGTAATTTTGACATAATTTAGAAGTGTTTTGGAGCGTGTTATATTCCGTGCTAATAGGAATATGGAATGGACAAACATGGTGGATAAATAGTAACAGGTTTATTGTAGAAACTAGTACAACAAGCAAGGAAGTAATAGTTATACACATGGTCATCGCAAGTCAGTACAGTTGTGTGTGTGCTGCTATTGGAAGGCAGCTAGTTCTCGCAGATCCCAGCTCAACTCTGTTATCCGCTGTCCTAACGGATACTTATAGGTGGTTACCACCTATAGTCCCACCACACAAGGGGGTATTAGGTTATTCCATTACATCAGAGTGTTGTCTTGTTGAAAGGTGTATAAGAAGAAAATGAGTAACAACCAACACTGAGATTCAAGCTTGACATTCTGAACATAGGAATATGTTTTCCACCAGGTGTATAAATAGCAGTGTCAGGCTATTGACTGCAGTGACTTTTGAGTGGAAACTCAACAAAGCTTTTACAGGGACTTAGCACTGCATTAGTACATATATATATATATATATATATATATATATATATATATATGTTCTTGAAAAACGGAAGTTTATATATATATATATATATATATAGCATAATATATAATTTTATATATAATATATATAATATTATAATTTTCAATTTGAAACTTTTTCTATATATATATATATATATAAAATAAACTTCCGTTTTTCAAGAACAGGTGATCAGCAATCTTCTTGATTATAGCTTTGAAAAAGCTTGCAAATGACACTGGGATAAAGACTGATGCGTCTATGGTGAGAAATGTGTGAGTGCTCACATGTGTTCTTGAAAAACGGAAGTTTTTTATTTTATATATATATATATATATATATAGTTTATTTTATATATATATAGTTTATTTTATATATTATTATTTTATTATTTTTTATATATATATAGTTTATTTTATATATTATTATTTTATTATTTTTATATATATATAGTTTATTTTATATATATATATATATATATATATATATATATATATATATATAAAATAAACTTCCGTTTTTCAAGAACACTTGTGAGCACTCACACATTTCTCACCATAGACGCATCAGTCTTTATCCCAGTGTCATTTGCAAGCTTTTCAAAGCTATAATCAAGAAGATAGCTGATCACCTAAATAAGAACAACCTTTTGAGTGACAAGCAGTATGGGTTTTGATTAGCCTGATCCACAGTCTAATGTCCTAACTATCTATCATATAGGAAGAAAATTAGTAACTACTGACACTGTGGTTCGAGTATGATACTCAGGATTTATGAATATGTTTTTTGCCAGGTGTACAAATAGTGGTGTTAAGCTACTGACTACAGTGATTATTGAGTTAGTGGAATTGTCTAGTCAAATTAGTGTGAATTATTGTGCATCGATGATTTGGGTTTTGATTTAGGATTTACCAGACGTTAAGCCAAGCCTCACTACTAACAAGGTATTCACTGAAGTGGTTAATTATCTTTGGTTGACTTTTACTTCTTTGTTCTTTTTAAGTATTTATTTGTGGTTGTAATTAAATACTGTTTATCTTAACAGTGAAATCTTGAGTTATACTTATTATTAATGGCCACCGTACATAACAAAAAAGGTAGACTTTTTTCTATTTATGCATAAACCAGATGGTATAGCATGTCTTTGCAAAACTGAATGATATTGTTCTTTTTTTCATGATTCCCTTGATCTGAATCAAATCTTCTGCGATCTCTACTCCAAAACAGCACCAAACCAAAACAGACCACTCACTATGTTTAAATGTTGGAACCACACATTCATTATTCAGTCTTTCTCCTGGCTTTCTTCTCACATACACTCTCCTCTTACTGCCAAAATGTTCAAATCTGGACTCATCTGTTCACCATACATTTTGCCATTCTTTCAATATCCAGTTCTTATGATTTTTTGACCATAACAGTCTTTTCTGTTTATTCACCTTCCATAACAGGGGTTTCTTGATGGGTATACATCCCTTGACCACCTCTAATCTAAAGTCCATTTTTCACAGCTGAGAACAACACTGGTTGCTGTTGAGAGTAATTACATTCAGCTGTCAACTTTGGAGCAGTTTTCTTTCTATTTCTTTTGCATTCAATAATCAAGTGCTTATCT